TCTTAGATATATTTTACACCTGATGATGGTTTTATAAAAAAACCGAAACATGTTGTGTAAATGTTCCGAAATGTTAATCGATCAATCGATATGGAACATCAATGATATTTTATTATCTTAATTATAAGAAATTTTAAATATTATGATCAGACGGATTAAAATAAATAACAGTATAATTTCTCATTACGATCTGCGACTTTTATTTGAAACACTTGTAAGTATGATATATAATAACAAAACAATCAAAATAATTAGCAAAACTCTTTTCACGATCGCCTTTAATAAAGAGCCCATGTGTTTTTCTGTTTTGCTAATTTTGTACGCTCATTTTTGCAACTAGACATCAGCAAAGGATGAGAAAACAAAACTAAAATGTATATTAATTCGTCATGTTCTGTCATGTTTGTTCTCAGGGATAATTTGACTCTTTTTATTTTGATCTTGGTCGGGCCTTCGATTAAGTCCTTCATACAATTCCACTGGATAACCTCCACTTTAAATTAAGTAGTTCCCAATTGCTAACCATCTAATTCTCCCATCGTTAGGATCTTAGGAAAGGTTTCTATCCCGATGTCTGATTTATCGGAAAGACTACAAGATTCTACCTTGGGACTTAAGATATTCAGTGTTTTAATGACTACCTTCCTGCCAAAATTAATCATTCCAAATTTCTCTTATTTGTTGACGATTTGAAAATATAAAGTCTGCAGAAGATTTAAATACCTTCAATCTAATTTGGCACAAAAATTGTGTGATGAAAAAATTAATTATATATTTGAAACGTTAGAGCAAATGTAGTCTATTGGTGTTATGTTAGACAGCAAATTAAACTTACATTTTCGTAGTGTTCATTTAAATTCTCAGTCACGAAGGACATTAGGGCTTATTCGCCATATTATTTACAACTTCTGTTCTGTAGACAGTCTAGTGGTTTTATAAATTGTTTTATTGCTTGCCTGTTATACGATCCTTGCTATTGGCAAACACTCATTGGGGAACAAAACTGAAATAATTCATCAATACGTATGCAAATTCGGAAAGAAATAATTTTAAAAACATGTAAACTTCATCGCACTAGGCCTTTTCACTATTCTGTTGTAAGCGTTGAGAAATATTCCTTGTACAATTTCAGACTTCTGTTGTTTTTATTTTTAGTGTTCTGTCTGACGACAGGTCCATATGAACAGGATCCTTCCATCCTTTTCTCGGACTGGGACCTGTTCATATACGTTCTTGGCAGATGATCCAGAAGTGGTTTTCCATTGCCTTCTTCTGTGTGTGAATGGAGTAATTGTTGGGATGCCACGGAGGAAAACTCCGTGTTGCCTAGACCACGGCCTTGCCCAACACAAGTTATAAATTCGGGCACCGCCGGGAATCGAACCCGAGACCCCAGGATGACAAGGCTAGCGTTCTAACCGCTAGACCACCGTGGCTTTCAGACTTCTATCGTTATAAAATATGTACCTCGCAGACGTCAGAATCTAACCTACGCAGAACATCGCGTTCAAGTGGTCAGCGACCATTGAATTTCGCATCATTTTCAGTTCGACCCACCATTCGATGCTACGTTACCTTTGCAGCTGAAAAATGTCACTGAATGAAGCAAGAATCAATCTTTGATCCAATCTCACCTTTCGGAAGCACGACCACATCCCAAAGGGACAAGGCGATACTTCAAGATCACGAAATCTGCAACTATTTTAACACCACTTCACGCCTGAATTACAGTACACAACTGGAATTTTCTGCTTAGGAAAGATCCTCTCATTCTCATATTAAAATTCCCAGGACACTACTCGGGTCTTCCCCGTCGCAATCCGGAACAGACACGTGCGTGAAGTGTTGACGACGCGAAGGGCGCAGTCCCGTTCCACGTGAGAAATCACTCCAGGAGGATCACCGTCTCACATTACGAATATCCAGCAACGATGTGATGTACTACGAATTTCAAAAGTTCCGATCCAAACGGCTACAGCAACTGAAGAGATTTTCCCAGATTACATCCAGACGATCTCAGAAGCAGCACCTCAGCGCTCTGTAAGACAGTGGTAACAATGCACACCACTAATTCCAATCATCAGCACGAAATTACAGCCACAAAGTCAGTTTAATTTGATATTTCAGGCTATACGTTAATTTAAAGTTGCCATCTTCAGACGAAAACGTCTCCCGACATAGAAAGAAAGTCGATACCGACAAATTTCCTTTCTCGCTTTCGAGTCCAAGACCGAATTGACGTTCTAATTTATTTTCCATGGGAAATTGATACTAAAATCAAAATTACCTACGCTAAAGTTTAATACGCCATTTTAAACATGGAAGTGTTCATTCGTATAAAAATATTTTTTCTGCAAGGAATCAAACAGGATCATTAAGATTTCTCCAGCGTGTAAGCAATGAGCGATACTTTGTAAAAGGTACAGTTAGTCTTTCAATTATTTTTAATGTTCAAGATAAGCTTAACATCAAAATGACAAAAAAAATCATTTGTTTTCAGCAACTGCTATACAGTGGACTGATAAATTCTACGCACATTTCAAAGAGAACACTTAATATCAAAAACAAATGTAATATTTTGATTTGCGTCTATAAAAATATTTGTAATTCCAAACAAAAAATACGTTCAAAAACCAACAGAGTCCAATTTCACATAGACCAGAATAGACCGTGTGGAGTTCATGTTTTAAAACGCTGTAACTCTGTAAAACCACGACACTTTCTTTGTATCATCGTTAACGAACCGAATACGAACTGTTAATCCCTAATAAAATTCGCATTCTCTCACACGGTACAACCACTTCCAAGATGCAAAATGGCGGTCAGCGCACACGCCACACTCTCCGACGCAGGCCTTAAGACTACTTAAACACCGAAGCAGGACTACAAAGGCGCCGCCAATCGGGGGAGTCTGGTATTGATTAAGAGGCGTCGCACGCAACCCGCACACCCTAACTGCTGTGCTGTCTAGTGTTGCTCGCAGGCACTTCAGCGACGCTTTATACGCTACAGAGACATCATTATAAACTGTTATATGTATAAAACGCTATAAAAGAGAGTTAAATGCATAGAGTATCGTTCTTCCTTTAACATCAGTTAGGGTAGAAGGTATTTCGATTGAAATTCGAACCGATTTCCTCCAGAATACACGTTACTACGTCCTGGGATCGATCACAGATCATTAGATCGATTTACTAAAACAACGAAGCCCCCACTAAGCAAAGAGGTGTGCTTTATTCCACGTGGAAAACGATAATCGGACTAAAATCATTAGGGGATGCACAAGGGATTGTGGTCTATCACTCGCCCTCAAACAGTCTTTCATCCAAACAGCAGAAAACATTAATTTCCCAGTAGAACCATCTTCCTGCAAACACCAGCCAACCAACATTCTGCCTAAGACCGGTCATTACAATACGCCTTCACATTCGTGAGGTATAGGGCTCGAATCTCGGTCTGGACCCCCAATTAAAATGACAAGCTGTTCATATTTCTTTCCACAGACCTTGGAAACAAATGTCGGAACAATTCCTATTATTTCCTTTCCAATTCATTATTCATTAATGAACGCCTAATCCACACTGTACTCATCTGATAAACTTGAAACGTTATTAAATAAAACAAATAATATGTCCGCGTGTCTGCCTCCAGTACGAAACACGTTTTCAAAGCATTTTCAGTTCTAAACTTTGCCTTTTACGCGTATCATATGCGTAATCTAAATAGATCTGTAGAATTGGATAAGTTTAAATGTATTATCCGATATAATAACATCGTCTTGTCAAAATCAACCCATTCTTATGTTTGGAACATCAGATAAACCACGCCATATAAAAAAACAATACTTTCGTTCTAATATATAAGCGTAATCTGATAAGAACATTTCAATAAACTGCATAACATTGTAAATGATTGTAATTCGAGTTTTAAATTTACCAATCTAATTTATACCTGAGGACGGTTAAATATAACCGAAACATGTCGTAAGAGACGTTCCAATTTGTAAATCGATCATTCGATGCGGAACGTGAAATTATATTTTAAATATTTTATATTTTATTATCTTATTAAAAATTGTGATTTGACGTAAAATATTAAATAGAATTGGATAAGTTTAAGCTTATTATCCGGTATAATAAGATCGTCTTGTCAAAATCAACCCATTTTTATGTTTACTTGTCATGTAAATACTATATGAGGTCTCTTCTTTGCAAACTTTAATGTGTCTATGGACCTAAAAGACCTCTTTATGAAGATGGTTATCTTCTGGGTTGCTACGCCGCGTAGTCTGGTAGAAGTCTACCGACGTTTCAGAGATGCTAGCTGCCTCTATAGTCAGTACGAGAACCCAGAGGACAGCCATCTTCATACTCGCCGCTAATTTAGAGGCATTTTATATATATTCCTGTAGCGGAGTCAGACATTTAAGCTTTCTAATGCCACAGTCAAATCAGTTGCGTTGTTAATATTTGTTTTAGGTCTTTAAAGTATAATGCACCTGCCAATTGTTAATTCCTGAACACTGTATTTTGTACACAGTTTGTTTGATAGTTTCATATTATTCTTGGAATGAACATCGAGAGTTTTCCTAAGATTTTAATTATTTTAATTATCTTATTTTAAATACATTGTGATTTGACGGAATAACCAAATAATTTAATTTTAAGAAGAATTAATTAATTAACCTTTGAAATGTGGACGCCTTGCTTTTTTTTGGGAAAAAATCTGAATGTTTGAATATTATTTATATGTGTTTCATACTTCACGTGGTTTGCAAGTTAATCCGTGTTATCTCTTAATCCGTTTAGAATATTTTTCTGAAAGACGTCAACAATAACAAAGAAACTGTTGACTGCGCACTTATTAGCAGTCATTATGGTACGTTTTCGTAAAAATTGTTTGTTTTCGCCAAGACTCTCGTTTGTCTTCTGAACGACAATTAGCCTGTTCTCTACGCCGAAACACCTGATCGCTTTCTATTAAATTTAGTATAGAACATATTTCAAAGCGAGTAAAAACTAGCTGTAGGATTTGTAAATGTTATCATTGACTCCACATTTAAAACCCTTAGAATATATCTACAGGTTTCCAGTCTCCCTGCGTATTTTCTGGAAAAACAGGCTTCTTAAAATAGGTCACGACACAATTCACATCGTATCTTGATATTAAACATTCGTTAGGCGATCAGTACATCAACAGACTTGAGCAAATTACTCATAAGCGATTATATTAATTTAAATTTAGTATTACCGTAATTGCTACAGTATACATTTACCAAAAATATTTTAATCTCAACTGCAAAGTCGATCTAGAGATGTTTTAGTTTTCAGCTAAGTTAGAAAAGTATAAATGGCTGATTTCGACTCCAAAGAAATTTTTCACGCCACTTTCAAAAATTAAATACCTTCACGTAAGTATATATTAAATAATTATGTATTTATTTAAACTTATTTCACGACCATGTAAGATCGAATGATACGATTATTTACGAATAAGAATAATATGGAAGGAGGCTGACTTATTTAAAGTACCAACCACGAATTTACCTGAAGGTACCGTGGAAGACAGCATGAAACCACGATGGTCGTTTTCCGTGACCTAGATTTTATATCATTTCTAGGTTATGTGACCTCACAATATTTTATTTCCATGACTGAATGGTGAAAAGCAATTCCTCCATTTTACTTCTAAGAAACAAAACCCAACTTTCAGTGCAAATTAAACCGCACTCATTCAACTGGAGTGTCCTATATTCTGTGTTTACTCATCGATGTTTCGAATAACTTAACATTATGTCATAGCGTCCAACACATAAAGACGTAGATATATCAGTAAATACTAATTTAGAATGGATGTGTATTAGAGCGGTCTAGGCCAAATGAAACTTGTTACCCCTGCATTTTTCTGGAAGGGCTGAGGAAAACCACAAACATATTCTGGGTGAGATTCGAACACTAGACTTCCCGAAGACGAACCAAGGGATGTTAACCATTACCGATATGAAATCCTGAGGCCATGCCGAGACGAATTACATCCGTGGTTGAAGCTCAAATATTCTGGACATCTTGTCAGAGATGCGTGTCTTAAAATTAACCCTTTATAATCTTAATACAATACTTATTATATTTCATTACAATAATGTGAGAAACAAAAATAATTTCAAAGTATGTTTTATGCAAATAAATGGTCCGTCTGTTTTGAAATTTGAGCAGAGAAATTTTAAATCAGAACTGCGATGAACAAAAGGTCATGCCTCCTTCCCTCACACTTCTAGCCTCGTTAATGCATCACAGATAATACTAATGACTACTTTTTCTCGTTAACAAACAGTCGCTGGACCGAGTAAGACAAAGAACAATTAGACATTGTTTTCTGTCACCGAGATTCGAACTCGCAGCCGTGACCCTGGTATGAACACCAGTTCCTGAATTCTAATTGGTTTACTAGATAACACGGGCAAGCGACGTAAGTTAAGTTTCACCTCTGATTTGCTTTCGAAGGACTCGAGAGCAATCTTTAAAATTTTCTTCAAATTTGGCAGACATATTGGTGTATTTCTTTAGGAGCTATCAGGAATGTAAATGATTGCAGTCAATGGAAAACATAGAAAACGCACAGAACGGACAAACACAACGAGATCAGGAATGACTGCAAATATGACGCCAGCGGTACGCCTACGTCACTTCCGGTTCATGGAATAACTGCAGTTAATCGATTGTTTTGTTACGTAAATTGAAATATAATTCATGCACAGAATGGTTGCTTTTGGCTACACATCAGTAAGATTCATGACTATCTAACTTTAATTTTCTAATATAATATACAATAATTGTTTTCCATTCATATGCCTACGCTGGTATCAACTTTACCTGTTCAATTTGAATGATATTTTAACTTTAATAATTCGACTGTAAAATTTACCCCTCTTAGTTAAACCACGCAAAAGCTATCCCGAAATCTGTTCTTCGAGCCTATTATTTTAATTATATATTAATTGAACATACATACCTATTATTAATATTAGTGTTTTATCATAAAAATGATTCCACAGTTCGTGAATTTATAGATCAAAGACAAAGTGTTAATATATGAAATATTCGGTTTAAACTCTGAGTGGTAATAAAATACAAATTATAATTTACGAACTGTGTGGGCAAACGCTTTAAATTTCATGAGGTGCCTTTCGTTTATAAGTTCATTATAAAAGCAATTTCGTATTGATCATTTTTAAGACCAACAGTCAAAGGTTATATAAATTGCAGGCTTGGACTGAAAGATTGGACGAATATGAAAATAAAAGGTTATTCTTGGACACGTTACCCATAAAACATAAAACAATAAATGCAGAGATCACGACATTGTTCTTCTGTTTTAGCACCGTGTAGACTGAGGTCCAGAATATGCAAACTACCTTTTTTCTCTAAATGCTGGCGTCTGGCGACGGCTTTAAACTGCTCCAAAACCCAGAACATCACAAGATAAGCAAATTTCGTAACTGTGCATGAGTTTACAGCAGTGTTTCTTAAACCCTGGTTCGCGTACCACTCGTGGTACGCGAGACAATGCTGAGTGATACGCAAACTAAGAAATAAAATCAACAGATAATACAAACACAAATAAGTTTTCCCTGAACGCATTTCATTTGTAGTACATTTAATGTGTTAAATTAGATTTAGTGGTACGTCAGCGAAAAAGATTGAGAACCCCTGGAGATCGGCTATCCTGACTGGGATTTTCGTGGTCTTCCTCAGTCCTTCCAGGCAAATGCAAGGATAGTATCTCAAATTAGGCCACGACCGCTTCCCTCAACATCCTTTATAATTCACTATCATCATCTCATTCGACTGAAAATTCGTCGTTAAATAAACCACAAATAAATATAGGAATGTGTACGAAATGGCCTAACAAACAGTTTCTCTGAGCTTGATGAATATTATAATATCGTATTGCATAAATGCAATAACAGTATACCTATTTAAAGACTATTTGATTGATTTATTAACGCAAAACATGGGGCACGATCCAGAGACAAATCAGTTTGTTCCCTCTGCCGAGCTATGGCAAGTCC